TTGAGACCACAACGCAGGTGTATTTTCCCCATGCCCATTCAACTCACCCTGGTAGTGGAATCCTCGGACCTAATCTATTTTATGCTCAAATTAACCGGGATCCGGATTCTACAGGGCAGGCGCCAATGCGCGCAAGACAGCGCGCACGGCGGTGACAAAAAATGAGCCTGATGTGGCAAGGGCATTAGCCAAAACCCTTACACCTCCCCAAATCCTCAAACTTTTTGCCTCCCAAAAAATAAAGCTCCTAAAGCCTCTCATTGTTGCTTTCAACCTTCTCAGCTGTGATGCAAGGACATGGGCTTGAAGTTGGAAGGCATGCCGGGCAGCGATGACATTCATCCTGTACCTGGGTCTTCAGGTTCAAGTCCCTTCACAAGGTTCTGTTCCGTTTAGAGGGTTGCACGGAGATGTCCCCCGGTTCCTATAATGGGGTTGCAGAGGTATGTCCCGTAAATCCCTGGTCTCTTTCAAGGGGTTATGGAACTATGCTCCTTGGATTTCCATTGAAAAGGTTATCGCGTATGTTGATTTCGTTGCTTTTACTTATCCGTGCTTAGTAGAGAACAGAGGAAGGTAATCCTTATATAGTTTTCAGATAACATGTTGCCTAATGCCTACTCACCCCCAGTACGTTAAGGGGTTATAGAGTCGTGGGTTAGAAGGATCAGGGTCGAAAACCCAGGGTTGAGGATTTCTGGTTGGGCTTAGGGTTTAGGGAAAAAGGGTTAAGGTGGGGGGTTGAAAAATTTGTGGCAAATTAATGCTTACGGTTGAGGGAAGCAAATTCTGGGGCCCATGAGGGTTCAGTGCTGGGGGACCTCAAGGGTAGGCAAGGCAAACCCTCAAAATGAGCTTGGGACATTAATTTTCTACCTACTTCCGGGATGTAGGCTGCCCTACACCCTAAACCCATTCTAAGTTTAGGGCTGAAGTTTCGCACGACAATGGCAACTGATGCATCCGGTCGAGCTGACTAACACGGCATTCTTTGGGGTTTACTTGGACCTCAACAATAGGTAAGGCAGTTGGAAGGATTTAGGGTTAAGGGCGAATGGCCCAAGGTCTTGAAACAGCGCCAAAAAACCCATTGTTCTACATAATTTGGGGTCCAGGTCGATACTTCGAACTAACCAGAAGCCGTGCGTACTGCTGCCTGAGGGGCGAGCACATTTTTTGACCCAAATTCTAAATCCCGAAACTCAAAAGCCTAACCTCAGGCCATTCGCGCTTGGAACGAGTCTGCATTTTCCGTTCCGGGCACCGCTGTGGCAGTCCACATGTTCCATTGGTCGCACGACTTAGGGCTTCGGTTTAGGACTGATCCTTATGACAATGCCTACATGCTCCATTATCCTGGTCCTGTCTCAACTCACCCATCAGGGAAAGCAAGATCACGTGACTGCATGGTCACGTAGTTATGTTTGTCTGCTATTCTAGATTTCTCTGTGCTTTGCATGATAGTTCTCTGGCTCATCCACTTTGGGGACTATCGGGCTGAAATAAGGGAGGCAGTGGAATCAGGAATGCTGGGGTAGGTTCCAGACAGATCTCTCCCCGAATGTTGGAACTTCTTTTGGATAGAGCTTTGCTGTAAAATGGAAGCCTGAGCCACTACCAACATTATTCCCTAGAATCCTTGTGGGCAGCCGCTAGCTGCAGCTCACAGACCTTACCACGAACTCTTAAGTCCTCTTCTTAAAGCACATGCTTGTCTCCCTAAAACATCAAGCCATGAAGAACAACCCTGTAGCCTGAGAATCCTAAGATTTTGAAACACGCACCAGCAGCCAAGTCCCCGGTCCGTGGTTCATGCTTCGGCTGCTGCTGAGGCCTTCAGTCCATGGCGCTAAACCCTTGAGCCCGGAAGCCTTTGTGCATCCTTCCTAGGCCCCCTCCATACTTCAAACACGCACATCCTACATGCCCCAACACCTGAAGCGCCTGCCTCATGGCTCATGGGTGAGGGGAGGACTCATCTTTGTAGCTTCAGTAGAATGCATCCGAAAACGTTGTTCTGCTCATCTAGGCCTGTAGTTTCAATTCGCATCCTATATAACCTCAATTTCCATTTCGCGTTCCATTTTCTTTTCCATTTGAGTCTACATTGCTCTTACGCTAATCCTCAACCACATGCATAAATATACCCTCAATCGTGAGCCCTGACCCTCAACCCTTAATCCTAAACCTTACAGGCCTTACATCAAAAAACCTAAAGCCTAAACCGTGAGCCCTAACCCCTAAATCCAAATCCTGAGCCCTAATCCTTCCAAACCCGCCGACTTTTGAACCCAAGGCTCGGAGGACCACGAAGCGCGGTTGGTTGGCACACGCACGGCGCCACCGTGCAGATGACGGTGCATGGAAGGACGGTGGGAGACGGGGGGGGGGTTTGAGGGATCAATGGGTCTTAGGGTTTAGTGTTGGATGAGGTCACGGGGTAAGGGAGGATTGGGGATATTAGGTTTAATCGGTTTGGGGATGGGACTGCTTACGGAATGAGACGTATAAGACTTATGGGATCTGGCAGGCCTAGTCTGGAGCCAGAGCTAAGTGTTGTAGGAATGCTGACGGATTTGATGAGGCTTCCTGGCTATGGGCCTGTCTGGGCGAGGAATTCTCTAGGTCAATCCGCCTGCAGTGACCCATGACTGGGTGGGGGCTTGATAAGGCTAGGGAATTCTCTAAGCTTTCAAGTTCGAAGCAAGGTCGCAAAAGGCGCGGGTTCTGTCATGCTATGTCGTATAGCCGACGAAAAACTTTGCAATTCGAGTCTCCCACAACCCAGGTGACAATGGGTTTAGGGTTTAGAGTGTTAGCACAATTGCCTTTCAAGGAACCCTAAACCCTAAACCCTGTCTTTCAGACCTCCAGCAGTGCGTTTGGAATAGTTACCCCAACCACCTCAAACATGGCACCCCATGAAGGCTCTCTCTAAAGTGGCTTCTTTCAGGTGCAAAGTTTAGGGTTTAGGCTTTTGGAGGAACCCTAAACCCTAAACCGCAGGAAGCGTTGGTTCCTGTATCCTCCTGGCCACTATCCTCCTGGAGACGGTCCTGGCGGCGGGTTTTCCTTGACGGCAGCCGGGCAAAACCAAAATTCAGGTTGTAGGATTGTCGTATACCGTATACCCCCAACTAAATACAACCATATGGGTTATACCTACAAATTGGGGGGTAGTTACCACTGAGCTGTAGGTTTTGGGGGTTAGGGTGCAGGATGTTGCGATTTAGGGTTGACACACAGCAGCCCGATTCACCTGAGAATGGTGATAGATACAAGGCTGTCGTGGGCGCTCTTGCCTTGTAATCGCATTTTTCCTGCAGTGGCTCTACATTGTCAGTCCTGCTTTTGATTTGGGCTCCGTTTAGAGTAACTTCATCACAAGGGTTGCGGGGGAGATTCCAATCCAGAGAAACGGTTACACCATACAAAACCATCTGAGTAGTTACTTTGCGCTTAGAGAATCAGGTTCTGTAGGTTTTCTATGGAGCCTCTCTTGGCCTTTGGAGAGGGTTCTTGTATCCGGCAGGTTCGTTTTTAGACAATTTGTGTTGGACATCTGGCATGCGCGGGGTAGTGGCTGACCCGATAGGTTGGAGAAGTCAAAGAGACTTAGGAAGCAGGTTGAAAGTAAAGGGGTCACTTTACCCATCATGGGAATTATTGACCTAGTTCCGGGTTCCCCTGACCCTCCAAGTTGTCCTTTCGTTTTGCTTGGGGGGTAGCAGAACCCTCACGAAGATCTAAGACGAGGACCTAAACCCTAAATCCTGAAGCCTGAACCTCAAACGGAGATCCTAAATCCTGAGCTGTAGAACGTATAGTCCCCCTTAAGTAGATAGAATATGGGGTATATGGGGATCTTATTGTAAAATACCCAAAGCCATACTCTATCTACTTAAGGGGGACTATAGACCCCTGCCTTGAATCTTCATATGGTGTTAACATGATCGAGGGCTTAGGGTTTAGGATGGTTCGTAATAGACCTGACCTGCCCTAAACTCCTACACGCAGAATTCCTAACTCCTGCGCCCTCAACACTGTAAAGCCGACGTCCTAGGATTCCAGCCCAGCTACCCAAAAGCCTGAATCTCGAACCCTTGATCCTACAAGATTGTTCGTATCATGCCTGCCCAGAATCGTAGTTTACCAAAATAGGGGGACCCCAAGATAGAACCTAAGATCTGTTAATCCTTACTCTGGGGACCCCACAAGATGGTAACCCTAATTCTGGGAAACTCCCAGATGCTAAAACCCTCAACCCTAAGCTCAAACCCCGATTCCAAAAATCCTAAACAATTAACCCTATACCTACCCAGAAATCTCAGGACTGGCTGCAGCTGGTCTACCCAACTCTGCCCCCCGCAGAAAGGCAAAGGGGCTTAGTCGGCTTACTGTTTAGGGTTTGGTTGGTTTCTGGGGTAGGGGTCTAGGGTTTAGGGTCTGGGGGTTTAGGGTTCAGGATTTGGGGGCTTAGGGTTTGGAGGCTTAGGGTGTAGGGTTTAGGGCTGAGGCTTACGTTTCGGAGATCGAGCGGAAGGCCCAGTACTGCAGGCGGCATGTGCTTTAAGACTTGCTCACCCTCAACCACGAAGCTTAAACCTGAAGCTGCAAGTACCCAATAGTTGGGTACTTGTGATTTTGGGTATTCGTGCTTGCAACACAGGTTTTGGGTAAATACGAATATTGGCTGCATGGACCCTCAGGGGCAGCTGTGACAGAACTTGCGGGATTGGAACGGATGGCTTACGAGCCTGGGACCGAGGATCTAAGAAGGTACCAAGGGCACCCGAACCAGAGATCTTAACATGAGCTTTACTCTGAACCCCTTAAAGGGGTTAAACACGACAGTATATAAGGTAGTATTATATGGGTTATTCAGGAGGATACTCGGAGTTTAGACTACAGCTCACATATTGCAAGCACATAAATAAATTCAAGAAGGAAGTGTACCGGACATGCTCTGGGTGGAAAGTGTTACTTCTCATTGCGTTGGACTAGACCGCCCATAGAAAAGCAGCGACGAAGCATTGACATCTACAGGTGTAGTGCCACGTAAGCGCTACACCCTTGAAACCTAAGCCTAAATTCTAAACGCAACCCTGAAACTTAAATTTCAAATCCTGGACCGTCAATTACAGTCCCCACGCCCGCGCCACTAAACATTGAGAGCGAGGCCGTTGGAGTTGACGATGGAGGCAGGGGACTCTGTGTGTCTGGGTTGCAAGTACGGAACTTTAAACTTAAATCAAGTTACTATAATTAGGAAACCCTATATGTATTATATGCCCAGAGTCTGGTAACCTAAATCCTAAACCTATAATGTACCCATATTATGGTATCCTAAACCCAAAGCCCTGCATACCCATGTCATGGTAAGTTAACTTAAGTTCCCTAAACCCTAAACCCTAAACCCTAAGCCCAGCAACCCAGGTATGTGCCGGATGGCTGGTACCATGCAGTGGTCCCTTGGCGCGGGATCGTTGTGGTCATGTCAGGGAGCGTAAGTCCAGGGGTCCGCTAGGATTGTTTCGATAAGGGTTTTAGGGTTTAGGGTCTGAGTTTAGGGTTTGGGTTTAGGGTTTAGGTTTTGGGGTTAGGGTTTGGGGTTTGGGGTTTAGGCCTTAGGGTTTAGGGGATCTGAGGCATTCTTACGGATGCATGGGGTGACCCAAGGCCCAGAAACCTGAACAACCTAAACCCTGAAGCGTCAATCTGGAAGCCTGTACTCTAAGAGCTGCCAAATAGATCCTCAACCCTGGGCCCTGAAAACTTGAGCCCTGAAGCCTCAAACCCTTCGATCTCATACCCTTTTACCAAACCTTAAACCGTGATCTTTGTTTTGAGCCCCGAACCTGGAAATCCAGATCCAATGCAACAGTATAAGGCTTACATGGGGGAAAAAAGGATTTCTCTGGCTTAGCATCACCAGCCCTTGTTGTTAGTAGAGGATAGGGGAATATATTCTATGGGGCTATTCAGAGATTAGGTTACCAGTAAGTAAATCTCGAAATCCTGAAGGCCCGACGAAGCTTAGGTGAACCTTGAAGACTCCGTGGCTGCCGCTTGGCATGACGGAGGGCTTAGGATTTAGGGTTTATGTAAGGTTTATTTTTTAGTGTTTATGTAAGGTTTAGGGTGTAGGTTTCATGTAATGTTAAGGGTGTAGGGTTTATGTAAGGTTTAGGGTTTAGGGTTTATGTAGGGTTTAGGGTTTCTGTAGGGTTTAGGGTTCTGAAAGGGGAGGATCGAGGTGCTTTTCAAAACAAGGGTCCCCTTTGAAGGCACCCCGCGCCAAAAGACCAACACAGGACCCACCATTTGGCTAGGAAGCTCGGTATAGTATGAGTTGTTCCAAGTCATTTCGAAGATGCGTGCGAGGATATTTCAGGTGGTATGCATGTTGGATCTCCCTGCCCTTGGACAGCTTTTCAGACAGCTCCTGCATTTTGCGCAGCTCGCATACAGAGAAATAGCGTAAATCTCTTTTTAAGCTAACTTGACCTGCTTCCCAAAGCCTAAACCGCAGAGGAGGTGTGCGCCCTTTGTAGCGCGGCATGGAAGAGTCATCGGCCATTAAAAGGAGTAATTACATAGCACTAAAGGGAAAGCCTTCCTTCAGGGGACACGAGATTTTTTCCAACTTAGTTCAGTAGCCTTTTCACCTGAAAACCTAACCCAAAACCACATACCAAACCCTAAACCATAAAACCTAAACCGGCTCTCTAGCCCCAAAACCTTGAGTAAAGTTCCATGAGGTCAGTATCCAAAGCAAAGAGCTGGAGCCAGAAGCGCAGCAATTCAGCTGAACATTTTCTGGAAGCTTATCATGGTAAAGCTTGGAGGTTGAAGGGTTAGGGGGGCTGGTAAGGGGAATTTGGGTACCCCAACCCATTAATGGAAGCTTACATGGACAGGAGAAAGAATGAAACGGAAACTTGGGTTGTATAGGGTTTATTTTGTACGCACGCATGCTAGGTAATAACGGGTTTTGGTTACGCCAGACCGATTAACGAGGGTTCTATGCTACCATACGACTTTTCTAGGGCTGCCGTTGTCAGGGTTGGGGGTACGAACCCCTTCAGTAGAATTTAGTGCTTGTGGTTTGGGTGTGCGGAAGCAGCTGGCACCCCATGCAGACCACATTTCATTTAAGAGGACAGTTGTCCTTGGGTGCTGCCAATGTTAACCTTTTTCAGGAACCCTTAACAGTGGACATAGAGGTCCCTTGTAGTATAGTCGACTATAGTCCCTCAGCAGGAAATAGCAAGAACCCATGTCCATTAATTTCCTGGGAAATAGTCAATAAGAAACCACTACATACCCCAATATAATCCCTATATAGCCCTATTATAATCTAGTAGT